CCATGGACATTTCAAAAGAACTGACAGAAAACCTGACCAGATGCCTGAGAGAACATATATGGAATATAGAGTCTATGAGTGTAATGACCATGGCAACCTTGCTGGACCCAAGGGTTAAAACCATTGGGTTCCTCAATCAAAATAAAATGACTGAAGCTGTTAGAAGGCTAAAAGGGGAATGTGCCACCATAATCAGAATACAAGATCAAACCCCATCAATGTCAAGCACTGATTCAACAGAAACATCATCTCAACAGGCAACAAATCAACAGGCTGCAACTACTTCAAGTATATATTTTATTTTATTATTTTGGAAAAAAAAAAACTTGTGAATATTTCATGGCATAAATATTAATGTGTGACTCATTCACATTTTTAATGTCATATTTAAATTTTTTCCATCAAATTGTTTAGGTGGAAACCTGTGGCACCTGCTAGATAGTGCTGTGGACCAGAGTAAAAAAAAACCTGTAATGCCACAGCTGATGCAGTAATAGAGGTTGACCGATACCTAAAGGAAACTAACATACTAAGAACCCATGATCCGCTTGAATACTGGAAAGAACAAAAACATGCGTTTCCCCATCTATATCTGAAGGCACTCCAGTTTTTGTGTACACCAGCCTCCTCTGTACCCTGTGAGAGAGTGTTCTCAAAGGCAGGGGAAAAGAGGAAAAATATGCTCTGCCCTAACAGTGTCAAAATATATATACAGTGGGTACGGAAAGGATTCAGACCTAAGGGGGTCTGAATACTTTCCGTACCCACTGTATATATATTTTTCAATAAAAAACAGTAAAATAGCCCTTTTTTGTGCCCATAATCTTCTTCACCCTGTTACACAAGCACATTTAATAACCACATAATCCATTAATTATTTGAAGTTACATTTATATAGTCTCCTATACCAGATGAAGAAATCAGACAATGTTATTACTATGCATATAGTTTTATGTCAATTACATGTCATATACAGGTCTTTTAGTTATAATAATTTAATTTCAACAATTTCTTACTTACTGTGGGCACCCACAACACACTTAAACAGTATTTTATTGTAATACATTGACAAATATTGACTTATATTACCATGAATTGCCACATTATGGTACATAAAAAAATATTATCAGCGTATGATTTTTATTTGTGCACTACAGAGTAAAATTACATCATTAATGAGGTGGATGTTTCATCCAGTGAAGTTTCATTCCAGATACGGCTGTTGTACATTTTATGATCCACTAGATGGCACTGTAATCGATACTCCGAGACTTCAAATCTTTTCACGATCCAGTTAGAGGAAAGCCTCATAGCTTCACAAGGCTTAATTTCGCCATCCCTAGCACACACCTCAGTAACAATGGTAAGTATAATATCAACACGGAGACTTGGGCGGAGACAGACATTGGAGTGGAGAACACACTGGAGAATCTGGCGTAACATCGAGTGAGTCCTCTTTGTATGAACGAGACCAGACACTGAAGTGTTGTGAGGTGTGTGCTTAAGTAGTCCATTTGATGAGGGTGCAGATGAGGTGCAGGTGTGGGTGATTAGTACTCTGGGGATGGTGTGCATTGTGATTGGGTGGTGAGTGAGTCTGGCAGGTCTGTGACCGTTCTATTGCTGCCGTAGAACTGTGTCATTATTATTATTATTATTATTTAAAGGGGTCATATGATGCGATTTCAAGTTTTCCTTTCTCTTTGGAGTGTAACAAGCTGATTGTGCATAGATAAGATCCCTGAAGTTGCAAAGACTAAAGTCTCAAAACCAAAGAGATATTCTTTATCAAAGTTAAGACTCTGCCACGCCCCCCTAAAATGGCTCGTTCTAACACGCCCCCACATATCTACCTCACTATGTGGAAATATTAGCATAACGCCGCCCAAATGTTCACGCAAAGAAAGAAGGCGTGGTTTCAGTAACCGCAGTTAGTGTTGAAGCAGCCTCCTTCAAAAACAGCTAGAAACCTTGGAGTTGATGATAAGCTGAATTTCTCAGACCACATTGATAAAACTGCCCGGTCCAGCAGATTTGTTTTATACAACATTAGGATGATCAGGCCCTTTCTTTCAAAACATGCAACACAACTCATTGTTCAAGCTCTTGTTCTGTCCAGGCTGCACTATTGCAAGGACTATTGCTCTCTTGGAAGGTATTCCAGCCACTTCTATCAAACCTCTACAATTAATCCAAAATGCTGCTGCAAGATTAATCTTTAATGAGTCGAAAAGAACGCACGTCACACCACTGTTCATCAATTTGCACTGGCTACAAATAGCTGCTAGCATAAAATCTGAGGCATTAATGTTTGCCTACAAAACCACCACTGGCTCTGCACCCATTGACCTAAATTCATTACTTCAGAGTTATGTGCCTCTAGAAGCTTGCGTTCTGCAAGTGAACGGCGTATTACTGTGCCATCTCAACGAGGCGCAACATCACTTTCACAGACTTTTTCATTAACTGTTCCCTCGAATAACCTGCCCAACTCAATCCGAGCAGCTGAGTCCTTAGCCATCTTCAAGAAACGACTAAAAACACATTTGTTCCATCTTTATTTGACCCTCTAACTCTAGCATTTTCGATTCTATTTTAATTCTAATTTATCTATCTATCTTCTTTTTTATTTAAAAAAAAAACTAACACTAGCTTTCTATTTTTTTCTATTCTATCTACGTGTTTTGCTTTGTGTGTGTGTGTATATATACACCTTGCTACGTGTACTGTGTTAGGCTAACCGAGTCATTTGCACTTACATATTTTTGCTCTTTTGTTAGTTTTAATTACTTCTATTGTCCTCATTTGTAAGTCACTTTGGATAAAAGCGTCTGCTAAATGTAAATCTAAATGTATCACATCTAGCCTCAGCAACATCTGCACCGTTTTAATTATCTTTCTTTCATTTCATTTCTTTCTTCAGCTGAGCTCTCATTTTAAAAACTGAAGCTAATAAAAAAAATGATTTGTGGAGCACCATGGCGTTGATCAGACTATTGAAACTAGCTATTCTTTCCATTGAGAATACATGAAGCCTTAAGGTGGAAATGCATAATAATGTTAACTTAACTGACTGCTTCACTTCCACTTTAAACTAAACAGCAAGGACATTGTGGATGAATTTGTCGAAAGAAAGGCCCGGAAATGCAACTAAAATGAGTGAGTATATTTTATTTATTTATTTTTAAATATATTTTTTGTGATATACTTCAAAAAAGCAAGTGGAGTTTATATCTTATATCCATTCAAGAGCCAGGTGAATTGAAAAAGGACAAAAAAGTTCATTGTATTCCTTCAGCTTTGAAAAACAAAGACAAACAAAGCTCAATATTAATACTATTATACCAGATGATCTAAAAGTAATTCAGAATGAAATTTGGATCTTGAAACTTTTTAAAAACTTTATTTTTTAAAATAAATCCAAATATAAAAAAGCAGATTGTTGTTATCTATTTGTAAACATTAAAGATAATATCCAAAATCTGAATGAGGAAGACAAATGACAAATTGATGTAGCATTAAATCATATTTAAAACTGCAAATCACTAGATATTGACCGTTTAACAGCAGCATTTTTAAACAGTTCTGGAAAGATTTTAGGAAATTATTATATGATGCATATGATGATGCATAAACCCAAGAAACAATTGCTATCATTAGATCATTGGAGACCAATAACTGTCATGTACTGATTATAAATTACTTGACTTGGTGTTTGTTAATCATTTCAAACTCGTGCTTGGGACACTTGTAGAGGAACACCAATCAGCATTTATTAAGGGAAGAGATAATCATAGTCAATTTGCTGATGATACAGACATATGTTTAAAAGAAAAATCGATAGTTTGTAATCCACATTATTTCAGTTATCTCAAGATTCCAGGACAATGCCATTTGAAACAATAAAGTGAACTGCTACCTCTCTATAGTAATGGAAGCAGAATCCATTCCCGGTTAATTTTGAAGTAAAATACCTATAGTTTTAAAAATGGCCTTTTAATGCAATAGAACAAATAAACATAGAAGATAAAATAGCTAAAAATCTTTGGCTTAAGAGATCTGTTACTCTCTTTAATTCTCTTAACTCTGAAATGTTTCGTTTTATATGGAAAAACAAAACTCATATTAAAAAAATTAATTTCAAATGATTAAAGAATATAACAATAGAGGTCTGGCAGCCACTGAATTTGAATCATTGATTGATGCACTCAAACCAAACTGGATTACAACTTATTTAGTACAGCTTAATTCAGTATGGTTTCATATACGATATATATGATTTTGAGATATATAAATTGCCTATCCAGCTGCCAAATGTCCATAAGCAGATATACTGGAAAATGATATTTACCCATAACTTCACACTGCATGGTTTCACCTTGTGGAATAACAGAACCATTACAATACATACAGTAGGAAGACATTATTTAAACCAGATAGTATGAGAAACTGATTTTGTATCTTGTTGACTTGATAGATGATGTTATCCAATTTATGCAATGCGATTCATTTATCAGGAAACTAGGGATAACATTTTATCTGAGAGAATTTAATGGTGTGTGTAAAGCCAACGCTCTTTCCAATACAAACACAAAACTATACAGACGTACAGTACAACTAACACAAAAGTGCATATTCAAATGTGTCTGGAAAAAAAAAGGGTTGGTGAAATTTACATTTTTATCACCAGTGTAACAACAAAGTAATAAATGTATATATTTTCAGATTTCAGTGCACCATCAAAAGCTTGCACTTTTGAAAATGAAATACTTGTAATTATCTGAAATGGCCCCTAAAAAAGAGGGACACACAGTTTAGAGTAATAAACAATGTGTATCCTGCTCCTGAAATTTTTACAGAAAGGAGTCTGTTTTGAAATCGAGTTTGGTGGATTCTGTCTGAAAGAGCCTGGAAGTATTAAAGTGAGAAACATTGATCTTTTTCCTTGCGCAGTCAAATTGCAGTTGCGGGAGGATCTTTACACATTAGTACTGACAGATCCCTCCTGAACTTCCTCTGACTGACGTCAGCCCCGCGCTCCGGACCCCGCGCTGAGAAGAATGCTGCTCTCCGTTGCGCCAAGGACGGGAATCAACCCCTACAACGGGTACAACAGCAGAAACAGCAAAAAGGTAACGCAGACGGGCTTTCTTAATGTTTGACTCTTACTTTCCAAACCCAGTGGCTTTCTACACACAAGTGTGAGCTGCGGTGTCCTTGACAAATCAACTGCAGCTTTCTGCGGGACCATTGCCTTCTCTAGAGCTGGATACGATGCGTCTAAAAGACGGCTCAGGGTCGGCTCGGTTTGGGTCGGGAATGGCGGCGTTCATACGTTTCTGGTAATAATAGCTGCATTCGTCGTGTGGCTGTAATCGTTCACACGCACTCACATTAATACACACACACACACACACATCGATTTCCACGGGTTTACTAGCGAAGTTCCAGCTACCCGCGGGAGAGGAGAACTTTGGTAGGCGAGTAAATAATGGAAAATGTTCTTTCCCACAGGACAGAAAGGTTTGGAAAAATGAAGATGGACTATTCAAATGTGACTCGAATCGGAAAGTGATCGACATATTTTGTATAGTAGCCTAGTAAAGAAGGGATGTGTTGTGTCGCTTTACAGTCGGAGCGATTGCGCGAAAGTTTTCAGCGGTGGGAAAATACAGCGCCCCACCCCTTGATAAACCCACCGTGACGCGTTGACTGTCGCGTTGTGGAGTAATAACATGGACACACAAAAAAAGTTTCAGTTCAGGCTGTGTGGGTAATGTTTACGCCTCTCGTGACCGTCCATGTTTGTTAAAGCACCAAAGCAGTAACTTCGACGAACAACGCGACGCGACAAAACTAGAACGCCATGAGCGGAGCAAGCGCGCGACGCAACATACTGTCCGAGAACGGTAGATGGGGTTAAACAGTTACATAATTCAGGATGTGAACGTTCCATTGTTTCCCAGAACTTATCAAATGCGACACTGTAGACTAAATGTCACACGCGCTCAAAAGACCAATGCTCATATATTTCCTGTAGTTACCAGTAGTTCGTTTATTATGATTCTGAACGTAAAAAAAGACTAACAGTTATATGAATTGATGCCTGTATATATTTGTGCATATATAGGTGGAGAGAAATTATAATTAAATATATATATATAAGCTATTATTGACTTTAAGTTTACGTTTATATTCAATTAAGTAATAAGGCATAACTAGGTTTGTTTGTTGTCAATCTATTTCACATTTAAAAATGCAAGCAAGACAAAGAGATTTACATTACAGTTGGTAGATGCTTTAATCCAAATATGTGCAGCATTCAGGCTATACGTTTGATCAGTCCAAGTGCTTGTGAATCGAACCCGTGACTTTGGTGTTGGAATGCTGTTCTTCAACCTGTAGAACTGAAGAAACTACAGGAGTTTTAAGAACGCATGCATGCTGGTTAGACTTCTGAAGGCTGTTGATGATAGTTGTGCAAGAGTTAAGTGTCTGGAATGTTTGCCGTCACAAACGTTTGTCATCACTGCTGATAGATACACGGCTCATGACGCAGTAGTGCATCACACTCATGCCCAACAGTGAGAGAGAACAGAACATCACAGATGAATTATAGAAACTGATTGTAATTTGAGGCTGTCACTTGTTTAATTGCTTTGCACCGATAAATTACCAAATTATTTCATGTCAGTACATCGATTATATGTACAAATACAAATTTAAATATAATATATATATATATATAGTTTTTTTTGTTGTTGTTGCAAAATACAGTGAAATTTGCTACTCAAGTTCCTCTCTGGGTTTATTTGTTTGGGTTAATTTGAATACTGTGATTTTTTTTTTTTGAGAGCACTTTCCCTTTATATGGTCATTGAAAACTGAAAGTGAAATGAAAATCTGCTTGCTTTGTGTGTGAGATGCATTAAAAGGATTCACTCAAAATTTTAATTCTGTCATCATTTATTAACCCTCAAGTAGTTCCAAACCTGTATGACTTTCTTTCTGTTGAACACACACACACAAAACAAAAACAAACAAACAGTTTCTGGTTCCCATTGACTTCCGTAGTATAGGGGGAAAATACTATAGAAGTGAATTGGGACCAGAAACTGTTTGGTTAGCATAGGGCCTTTCGCACCGCGGGAACCTTTTCATAGTACCAGAACTAATTGTGGAACTACCCACTTTTTGGCGTTTTCGCACCGCCGGAACTGGGAGCGATTTTAGTACCGGACTGTCTTTTTCGAGAACCAAATTAGTTCCTACTCCGGAGCAGGGTCTAACCAGCACAACTGGTACTAATCGTGACGTAAGTAGACACTGATTGGCCAAACGCGTATGAAAACGCCCTCACCCGCCATGATTTAAAACTCTGTGTAAACATACTGTAAACATTGTGTCAACTTATTTCGCAAGTATGGAGAACAGCGATAGATGGACGGACGCTGAAGTGCAAGCAAATGTAGCACTGCCAGTTGTCGTTGGAGATTCTTAGTCCTCCTTTCCGTTCTTTCAATCGCTTTACGTAGCCTATACGTCGACATTTCATGTCCATTATTGTGAAACCCGCGAGACACAACAAAAACACAGCTCCGATCACAGCGTCCTCTATCCTAATGTTAATGTTGTTCTTTGTTTCCGTTGTTGAACGCCGCACACAAATGACGACACTGTGTGTCAACCGTCTTACGTACACTGTCCGTGCGAATGCAACCCTTTAAATGGTACTGGGAAATAGTTCGTGCAAAATCGTCCCAGTACTTTAGTACTGTACATTTAGTTCTGGAACTAAAGCGGTGCGATTCTTCTTCTTTTGTGTTCAGCAGAGGAAAGTCAGTCTGTTAGGAGCAACTTAAGGGTGAGTTTTATTTTATTTATTTTTTACCCTTCTACCCTTTTAAGTTACGTCATGCAGGCATGCTCATTGACGAAACAAAGTTGAGAAATGTTTAACTTTAGGCAAATGACCAGTGACCTTGGCGAGCAACTACCAATAGGAGAGTAGTTAGAGGAGCGTACTTAATCATCTCCTGTCAGATAGGGAAGTGTCGGCAAGAAGGAGAAGTTGATCCCATCAATCATAATTTTCCAAATAATATTAAGCATTTTATTTTAAATCAGGGCTACTCACAGCAAACAAATTGCCAGCCGTTTGTCTTATGAAATGGCATGGCAGTAGTTTGCTTGTGCAGTTTGGACATGAAGTGACTCTCAGAGCAGTTAGTGGAAAAATAGACTATATTAGCGAACAATTGTGTTGGATAGAAGCATTTCTCTGCTCATCGGAACACACGCAAATGCTGAAAGACAGAACCATTCAATCACAGACAGCGTTCGCTGCTGACACATGGCTCAGAGTGCTTGTTTAAACAGGGCTGCGTTTCCCAAAAGCATCAGAAGCATTGCCACATTATTACATTACATTACATTGTTACTATATATAAAATTAATTCTGAAAAATGCATCACAGTTTCCACACAAATATGAAGGAGCAATAATAATAAATGTTTCTTGAGCAGCAAATATTATACTGATTTCTGAAGATCATGGCGCTAAAGTTTCACCTTTAGGGATACAACAGCCTGGCAGCCTTTTACAAAACTTAACCATGGTTTTATTACAGTAACCACAGTATTTGTAGTAAAACTGCAGTAACCACAAATTTACCATGACAATATTAAGAATAATAATAATAATAAATTTTAATACTTATGTAACACCATGTTTATTTTTCATGAGGTACCCTCAAAGGTGCACCTTTGTAACTTATCTACCCTTAAAACATGCATACATGTATGGTACCAATATGCTCACTTTTAGGGGTATAGTTGCACCTTTGAGGTTACTGCCCCATTAAAGGGCTACAATATATAATTATAGTATATTTTATTTCTAAAAGTGTAAATAAAAAAGGCCTATGAAATGTTAAAAAACATGGCTTTAAAATCTAATATTAAGTGAGTATAATTACTGATTATATATTCTTTTAATAATTTAAAAGATCAGTTTAGTTTAGA